GAGGACTTGATCACACGATCACACCTGTCTCAGTCCTGGACAGATCATCTAGGCAACAGAGGAACAGTTAACCTATTAGATGGAGAGAACAAATCTATGGTTATTAGAGAGGGGAGGGGGAGAATGAAAGGATAAGGGGAAGGGGGAAAGGGAGGGTGATGGGAAAGGGGAGGGATGGGGAAGGGGAGAGATTGGATAAGGGGCATAAAGAATAAGTGTGATTTGTAACAATGAATATGCTAATAATAAAAAAATTAAAATTAAAAAAAGATCTGGAGAAAAGGGAACGCTTGCACACTGTTGGTGGGAATGTACAGCCATTATGGAAAATGGTATGGAGCCTCCTCAAAAAGTTAAAAGTAGAACTACCATATGATCCAGCAATCCCACTACTAGATATATACCCAAAGGAAATGAAATCAGTATGTCAAAAAGATATTTGCACTCCCATGTTCATTGTAGCATTTTTCACAATAGTCAAGATACAGAATCAACCTAAGTGTTCATCAACATACGAATGGATAAAGAAATCATGGTGTATATACACAATGGAATACTACTCAGCCTTACAAAAGAAGGAAATCCTGTCATTTGCAACAACATGGAGGAATCTGGAGGACGTCATGCTAAGTGAAATGAGCCAGACACAGAAAGGCAAATACTGCATGATCTCACTTATGTGTGGAATCTTAAAAGGTCGAACTCATAGAAGCGAAGAGTAGAATGGTGGTTACCAGGGGCAAGGGTTGGGGGAGTGTGGGGGAAAAAAATAGAAAGAAAGAACGTCATTGCATTTATGATCACTTTCTGCTGTTTGCCAGTATGATGAGTGAAAAACTATTCCTCTGGGTGGTTTTCATTTACAGTTCTTTTACAGTGAAGTTACATGTTGTCACATATTTAAGAGCCATTTGTATTTCAGGCCCTATGAACTTTCTCTTCATGTACTTTCAGCATGCTCCCTGCGTGACTCTGGGGTGGAGCCTAGGCTGCAACCCCTGGCCTTAGGTGTAAGGTGGGGAGGCTGCGGGGTGGGGGGGAGCAAAAAGAGGGAGGTGTTTCTCAAAAGAGGAGGAAGAGGCGGTGGGGGCGGAAGCCCCTTAATGGGACATAACAGGGCAATACTTCTCTCCCCAGGTCTTGTTCCTCCCAACGAGCCTAGAAAAGTCAAAGGAGACCTTCATCATTGTGTGCAACAACTGCCAGATAAAGGAGCTGGTGATTGTAGGTGGGCTTGCGTGTACTCCTGGGGGCAGGGCTGGGGTGGGCGCCCAGCTCCTGGAGCCACTTACTGTATTAGCATTGGCAGAGGCACGGCTGCGCCCACTCTGTGTCAGGGAGCACACTGAGGGGATGCTGCAGCCTCCAGGCATCAGGGTCTAGTTTGGGGCCCCTCGCTCTGGTCAGACCTTGGAGACCCAAGCCAGAGTGGCCTCCAAGACAGTTTAAGGATTCTTCTAGTGAGAGACAGCTGCAAACCTGGGGTGAAATCTTTCACTGTTTCACATTGAAACTCCCTTTGATGTCCTTTAGGGAATTGCCACTGACTCACACAATAAACAACCAGACGCACTTCTAGGTTTCTGCAGGGTTAGAAGGGCAACCTGCTGAATTGCCCCCAAATGCCTGCCTGCTTGCCTTCCTTCTTTTCTTCCTTCCTTCTTTTCTTCCTTCCATCCACTTTCACTCAGCAGGCATTAATTGAGTGCCTGCTACCTGCCAGTTTCTCAAAATCACCTCCTTTCAGTCTGTGAAGATGTGAGGACATGAATCTGTGTGCTGATGGACCCTTTTCCCTCTTGTGTGCACTTCTGGAAGTCATGGTCAAGGCCAGCTGCATATGGAAGATGGCACAGGACCCCTGGCAGCCTTTGGCCAGAGTCCTGATTTCAGCCCTGGTGAGACTTCACTAATGTCACTACCCTACTTTGTCAGGAACTGGGCAGCTGGTTGCTTTGGATCTGATCTATATTTCTGGTGAAAAAAGTCAGCCAGACCCTGGAGAGCTCACAGACTTAACAGCCCAGCACTTCATACGATTTGAGCCTGAAAATCTTCAGTCCACAGCTAAGAAACAGCTGATTATTAGAAATGCTACGTGAGTGGTTCCTGTGCATGTCCCCAACACGCACCCCTTCTGCTTCCTCACCTGTCCCTGAGTTCCCAGTGAGGCAGGAGTTTCCTTCCAAGAGCCAGGGGCAAGTCTGGGCATCAAATGGATCCAGATTGGATGGAAGGATCCACGTTTATACTCCATAATGGTAGCCACTAGCCATATGTGGCTATTTAAATTTAAGTTTACATCAATTAAAATGAAATAAAATTAAAAACTCACTTCCTCAGTGGCATGGGCCACATCTCAAGTTCTCAATAGCCCCATGTAGCTAGGGGCTATCCTAGTGGGCAGCGCAGATATGTAAGATTTCCCCCACTGCAGGAAGTTCTATTGAACAGTGCTGCTGTCTGTCAGCCTGGACCATCCCCAGCCAGGAATGGTTTTCCAGAGAGGTCATGCCATGCCATGCAGGTGAAGCCATCCTACTCTCAGGGTCAGACAGACTATGGTCTGTGGGTTTTGTTTTCACTGCCATTTATTTTCTGACCAGCCTCTGAGTACCGCCATTATAGCAGAACAGACCTTCGGGAGCCTCCCAGCCAAGGCTGCCCTAATGTCCCCAGGCGTTACACAGGCTTCTGTCTCCTGGCATGACAAGAGGCACTCATGTGCCATCCCTGAACCCTACAGCTGCCTGTCAGCAACGGCAGAACAGACCTTCGGGAGCCTCCCAGCCAAGGCTGCCCTAATGTCCCCAGGCGTTACACATGCTTCTGTCTCCTGGCATGACAAGAGGCACTCATGTGCCATCCCTGAACCCTACAGCTGCCTGTCAGCAACGTGCCTGGAGTCCTGCCCCTCCTACTGCCATAGAGTTTTTACTGTTCCTGTTGGCAGCCAGTGGGCACATAGCTTTCTGAACACAGCTGTCCTGGAAGGCCATAGCTGGAGTGACAGAGAGCAGGGGAGGGGTCGATATGGCAAACCTTGGAAATTTTCATGTAGTAGGAGACACTGCAGAAGATTTTCCTGGTATCTGGAGGGATGCCTAGACCACTCCAGTTCAATGGTTGGGGAATGGTTTCCTGAGTTTACTATTTGCCTCGATTCACTGTGGGTTGACCCCCAGCTGCCAGGGTGGGGAGCAAGGGGCTCTGGTATGTGGTCTCTGGCTTGGGCCCCCTGACACACCTGTTGTCCTTAACTCAGGCTCCCTGGGGCTCCTCCATGGGAAGGGCTTCAAGGCTGACCTGGTCACTTCTTGTTCCTGGGTCCTTTCCTGCTCGCTCCCAGAGCAGGGCAGGCTGGGCATGTGGGGGTGGGAGAGGACCTGGTCCTGGCAGAATCAGGACATGGCCTGGGACCCACTGCCCACTGTCAGGGTTGCCCCCACAGGCACGTGGAGCTGGCCTTCCATTGGCAGATCATGAAGCCCAACCTGCAGCCCTTAATGCCTGGAGAAACGTACAGCATGGACAGCATCAAGTACCACCCTGACAGGGAGACCGCCTTCTCCATCATGCCCGGAAAGGGGGTTCTCAGCCCCCACACGGACCACGAGTTCATCCTGAGCTTTTCTCCTTATGAGGTTAAAATGGTGTCATCTTGGTAGCCACACATGATTGGGTCATGATATTTTCACCCTCCATCCATGTTCTTTAATGACACGGAAGCCACAGCTGGGCCTGACTTGGTCCCCAGCTATCCTGCCGAGGCCAGGGCTTAGCTGAGAGTGTGTCTGGAGCACGTGCCTGGTGTGCAGGACCAAAGCTCATTTTGCCTGGTCCTGATCCCAGACACACCCATCTGCAGCACGACCCTGGGCTTGCTTTCTCAGCTCTGGGTGTCCCACATTTCTACTATGTCAAAGAACATTACCATCCCTGCCCAGCCCACAGCAGCCCCTAGAGAGTGAGGTGCAGATTCCTGAGGGCCAGGTTAACACAGTGCTGTCCCTCTGTGTCACGGGCACCCTGTGTGTCACTGGCAGGTGAGGGGAACCTGAGCTGGGCATGAAAAGGACCTAGCCCCTAGAGAGTGAGGTGCAGATTCCTGAGGGCCAGGTTAACACAGTGCTGTCCCTCTGTTTCACGGGCACCCTGTGTGTCACTGGCAGGTGAGGGGAACCTGAGCTGGGCATGAAAAGGACCCTCCAGGGCTCCTGTTAGTGGGTTTGGGACTAAGATGAGCAGACCTGCCTCCCGACCAGCATCCAGCCACCTCACTGTCTATCTTGGGGGGTGTGGCACTTCAGACCCATTGAGGACACTGCCGAGGGTCAATGTCAGCATCTGAAGGGCCTTTCCTTCCTGCCCCCAGGCCCAGCTGAGGCAGACCCCTAAGTCATGGCTCATGTCCCGCAGTGTCCCCACTTTCCCCAGGGTGGGGAAGAGGTAGAAAGCAAGCAGCCATGGGTTTTTCAGAAGGCCTCTCTGGCAGCTAGGCTGAAGGGAGGAGGAGTTCCTGCCCCCACTCAAACCTTCTCCCAGGCAGCCTGGCTGTAATGCTGTTGTGTTTTCAGGGTGCTGTTTGTTTTGCAGATGAGGAGTTTTCACAGTGTGTTCCAGATGGTGCTAGAAGAAGTCCCAGAGCCCATAAAGTGAGTAGACACCAGCCCTGGATGAGGGGTGGGCAGCTGGGCCTGGCCTCCCCTTGGGTATGTTTCTGGGGAAGGTACCAGGCAGGGGTGAATGAGCAACCTGGTCCCCAGCAGGCTTTGGGAAGTGGGAGCATTTTTGCCTTGCCCTGGCAACCTAGGCTTGGAGTAGGCTCAGCATACAGGGAACAGAGCTCGCTGGACTCACTACAAGAGCTGTAGGCCATCCCAGGAAACTTGGAGCTGTACCCCAGTCTCATTTCTACCCTTGGGCAGCCAAGCTGGTGGCCCCTGGGTGGTGCTGACTGCTGCGGGTGCAAACCGTCAAGGTGGGTCTCTAATCAGCCTGGTGTGGAGATTCCAGGCTGGGGTGCAGCAGTGTGGTCCCTGGAGGCGGTAGGGCAGTACCCCTGTCCCAGACCTTAGGCCATACCACTGTCACAGTCACAGACACTCATCACTTTTCAGGGCATTGGCTGATGTCTCTGATTTTAGGGGGCCTGGGAGCTGTGGGTAGGGGAACATTTTCACAAGACCAAAGATGTGGAACAGAGGCGGGGATATGCAGGGACATGCTCCCAGGCTGTGTTGGCTCCTAGCTCATGGTGAGTTTGTGTTCAGTTCAGAAGTGGAGAACCTGGTGGATTCCCCATACACTGTGGATGATATGATCGTCCTGGAAATTGAGGTGAAAGGCTCAGTAGAACCTTTCCAGGTTCTCTTAGAACCCTATGCTCTCATCATCCCTGGGGAGAACTACATTGGCATAAACGTGAGGAAAGATTTTAAGGTAGGTCGTTGTCTCCCCTGCCTAAGCTGGCCGAGGTGGTGCTGAACTTGGATGTGAGTGTAGGGAGGACATGGCTGGAGGGACAGTGGCAGTGGCCACTGCGGAGGCTGAGACTGTTCCCAGAGCCCCTGAACTCAACTTAGTTTGCATAGATGCCTGAGCCAGGTGTCTGTCTTATTTTATCAGCTTCCCAGAATCCTCCGAAACTTAGGGCTATGGAACCCCTTTCTGTGTTCACGTCTTTGGCAGGATATGGCACCCACAAATCGTGCAGTGTGAAGTGAGGGTGCTGTTGGGTTGGGAAGTCCAAGCCTTCACATGGCCATGAATTAGCTGGGAGGGTGTCCAGTGAACCCTTCATGAGCCCACAGTCCCACAGTCCTTCAGCAGGTACAGATTTGATATGAAAGGGTAGTTAGTACCTGGGTAGCTGGGTTGGGGTGTGTCTTTCAGATGTGGAACAACAGCAAGTCACCCATCAGATACATGTGGAGGAAGGTCAGCGACTGCCACATCATTGAGGTGGAGCCCTGCACAGGGATCATTGGTACCTCAAGGACTGTGGAAGGGGTTGGGACCTGCCAGGGCTGGCTGAGGGGTGGGGTAGGGGAGTGGTGGTGAGGTGGTGAGGGGGAGGCTTCAGAGTTAAAGGGGTCTGTGCAGGGCTCTTGGTGTCCTGTGATCAGCTCCAGCTGAGGCCTGGGGCATGTAGTGGATAAGAAAGTCAGCAAAGGAAACTGCCCCTGCTTCCTTTCTCCACTTCTCACTTGTCCCCTCTCTCTCAGAGCCCAATGAGGTCGGGGATTTTGAGTTGAACTTTACCGGGGGTGTCCCTGGCCCAGCCAGCCAGGACCTGCTGTGTGAAATCAAAGATTCGCCCTCGCCAGTGGTGTTACACATCGAGGCGGCCTTTAAGGTGCTGCAGAGGGGAGCTGGGTAGCTGGTGGGCCCAGAAGGTTGTCAGGGTGGGACACAGAACCCATCCCCAGGTGGCCCAATGACAGGCCCTTCTGGGTGTCTCAGGGGCCTGCCCTCATCATCAACGTCTCAGCCCTTCAGTTTGGTCTGCTTCACCTGGGACAGAGAGCCACAAACTGCATCCAGGTCCGGAATGTCAGCCAGCTCCCAGCTGTGTGGCACATGAAGGAGAGCTCAGTCTGCCTTAACGAAAGGGATGAGGATGTAAGTCGGGCGCCACCGGCTCCTGTGGTGCCAGCCCTCCCCCGCGAGCCAGTTTACCTTGTGTCATGTTTGAGCCGTGAAACTTGTGCTGTGCATTCAGACCAGAGCTTCCAGGCTGCGAGAGGAAAAGCCCACCTACTTCTGCCTGGCAGTGCCTCCCGTTCTCCCCGTCCCTGAGGCAGCTTCTCTCTACAGCAGAATTCAACCCCACAGCAGCGTTTCTTGCTGCTTTCTCTACCATCGGATGCAGAAATAGGACCTGGGTTTCCCCCTTGTCAGAGCAGCCAGAGTCAGGAAGGAAATGGGCAGCTGAGCTGGGCGGGAAGCCTTCAAGGCTGCTGTTGCTGGGCTCACCCGAAGGGTCTGACCCTCCCAGGGATTGTACCTGCAGTTTGGTACCTGCCACCAGGTGGCGCTTGGGCATGGGCTTGTGGCCCAAACCAAAAGGCTCCTAAAAGAAAATTCAAGTCATTTGCATTCAAATAGTCCTTTTCCTTTTACTATAAAAATAGGGGGAAAGTGGCTAAGTGTTACCATTATTATATTTAAATTGTGGCATCACATTTAAAGTCAATGTGTGATCCTGAACGAGACAAAGTCACACACAGCACCGGTTACTCCCTAACTGCCAACAGCGAGCCGTACATCACCTCTCTTCACCACCCCAAAGGCTGGAGCTCCCTGAGACCCCGCCCGGGCTGTTTGGTGACAGCACCCTCCCTCTCACTGCTTGCTACCGATGTCCCCGTCCTGCTGGCCCCCTTGCCCTCCACTGCATACTTTTTCTTCCACGATCAGAAGCCAGGGAGGACAGTTGCACCACATGCTCCTTATTTGCCAATGTACATTCCCTTTCTCAGGGCTTTCCTCCCCCGTCTGGGGAGCCGTTGCTCCTTTACCTGACAGTCTCACTTCTCTAGCTGGGCACCCTGAAACTTAGAAGGGATGACAATTTGCATCCAGTCGACAACGCCATTGCAAAGTACCTGTCACCCAGGTTGGGAGTTAGCGCTTTCCCTCCGGGGGCTCACTGGTCTCAGCTGGATCCTGGAACCACAGAAGATGGCAGGGGGGCAGGGTGTGATCAGTATCTTCAGTGGCCACATTATTTTTAGGCAGGAACCCTTTCTTCAAATGAAGCTTTATACAGAAGCTGAGTATACAGAATAAAGTGTGACTTCTCTGGCTACCCAGAGACCCCCCTTGTTAGTCACTCCTGCCCCATCCCACCTCTTCCCACATCCCAGCCCCCTACCCTAGGCACTTCTGGGGAATCCCTGGGATTTCCTCAAGTACAGCTGGAAACTTAGCCAGCCTCCTCATTTGATAGTGGAGGGACAGGAAGGGACGGGGCTTCCCAGGATCACACATCTACAGGGTGTCTATCTGATCCTCGTTCTCTTATTCCCAGTCTGTTTTTCTCCCACTGTGAGGAGTAACTACATTTTATAATAGAAATAATTGTCACTTTTGTGATATTTTATGTCATTCAAGGCTGGTGGGAATCCTGTCTCTACAGTTCTCAAAAATAATGTTGGGATTTGGGGTTTGATGCTGTCAGGTTATAGGACCCAGAGCTACTGAAACCCAGCCCCAGGACACAGTCACCTCCCAGGGCCCCAAGGGAGATGCACAGGAGCAAGGCCAAAATAAATCAAAGTGACTCTTTCCTTACCAGCTGAGCTTGGTTCCCAAACTCCAGTGCCTGGGCACTGGTGAGCCGGGCCAGAGCACATGGAGCCCTCATTTTCTGAGATTGAGGCCTGGGCAGCCTCCGGTGAAGGCCAGCCCACCCGTCCCACCAATGCCAGGGAGGCAAAACCTCAGACGCAGAGAGCACAGCACTGCTAAGCCTGCCGGTGCGGCGGCCCGGG